AATAAATAAAACGTTGAAAAAAAAATTAAAAAAAAAATAAAATTAAAAAATAAAATAAAATAAAATAAAAAAAAATAAATTACAGACCAGTAAGTTTGATGTAAGTCTTCTAGATTATTATGGGACAGAATATTACAGGGATGGCTTGCAAGAACCTAGGAACGGAAGAATAAACGCTAGAAGCCAGCTTGAATTCACGAAGTCAATTTAGGCTAATCCTTATTTCTTTTTTTTTTTTTGAAAATTTTTTAGAGAGCACGTGTGAGTGTGGGGAGAGGGACAGAGGAAAAGAGAGAGAATCCCAAGCTAAGTGTAGAGTCCAACAAAGGGCTCAATATCACAACCCTGAGATCATGACCTGAGCCGAAACCAAGAGTCAGATGCTCAACTGACTGAGCCATCTGGGCGCCCCTATTTCTTTTTTATACTGTTACTGAACTGGTAGCTATGAGAAATATGTCAGACATAGTATACCTGAACTGTGGCAAGGCATTTGGCAAAATCTTTTATGAGATCCTTAGGTACAACATTGAGAAATAGGAGCTGGTTGTTAATTTTTGTTAACTAGATTAATTTTTGTTACCTAGAATAATCATTTGAAAGATCATTCCCAAAGCATGCAGATTACCAGGCCACTATCATGCTAGACAAATGTGTCTAATAGCATACACCACGGGGTTCTTTCAGCCTTAGGAGCTTCATTGTGTATATCCAACAACTTAAATGAACATCTGGAAACCATGCTGATGAGGTTTATAAGTGACAGTGTCTGATAAGGACAGTGAATGCTTCAGATGACAGAATCAGGATACTGATTTTAATCATAAGTAGCTGGGGGGTAAAACAGAACAAAAACTAAAACTTGCCTGGACCAGATGAAATCAAACCCAGGGCCAGATCCAAATCTCATCCCTACATTAGAAAATGAGTGTAAGGGAAAGAAACAATGTTTCACTATTTCTGAAATCAGCCTCATACTTGAATTGCAGCTACCTTTAGAATACGACCTGAAATACTTCAGTCAAGGCAGCAACAACACAGTAAGAGTACTGCAAATTTTCATCTATAACTGTGGCCTTAATTAATTTCTCTCACCCTCTTTTAGACGGTCCCCTTCAGCCTTGGTTTTCTTCTGTCTTTCTGATCCGGCAAGGTCTACAAGATGCAACTTGGAGCGAAAACTGCTATTCCTGTGATGACAAGAAGACACCAATGAGAACAGTAGGTGAGCTTGAAGGCAGCTGAGTGTCAAAGCTGACCTGCTGGCTCTCATGTTCTTCCAAGTCAGCTCAAATGGCTCCACTGGTTACCAGTACTCAGAGTACTGATCTCCGAGGAATTGTCAATCAGCCAAAGAAGCAACTTAATACTCAACTTCAGTTGAACTAAGTTAAAAATGTTGACTCTTGAAGCTGTAACTGTAACTTACTTGTCGCTTTTCTTTCTTTGTTCGATGGAGATTGTAAAGATGGCATGAGATCGGGATGACTGGGAGTTCATAGCTGTGGAGGCCACAGTCCTACAGTTGTTACCCTGTTCCAAACAGGAAACGGTATCCAGAGCAACTAAAACAGTCTTCTCGGTGAGTCCCACAATCTAATTCAGAGAAAGAAAAAAATTTCCTTAAGATTCAACTTTATTTACTTATTTTAGATTCTACTTTAAATACTTCATCAGAGGGGCGCCTGGGTGGCGCAGTCGGTTAAGCGTCCGACTTCAGCCAGGTCACGATCTCGCGGTCCGTGAGTTCGAGCCCTGTGTCAGGCTCTGGGCTGACGGCTCAGAGCCTGGAGCCTGTTTCCGATTCTGTGTCTCCCTCTCTCTCTGCCCCTCCCCCGTTCATGCTCTGTCTCTCTCTGTCCCAAAAATAAATAAAAACGTTAAAAAAAAAATTAAAAAAAAATAAATAAATACTTCATCAGAGATATAGGGATTGGTAGTTTAAAAAAATAATGCTTTCATGTTCCAATAGAACCTCAATAAATAGAACAGTTGTGGTAATGAGGACTGTTTGACTAGCAACTCTGTGATCACTGCAAACCAAGGTCTCTAATCTCCCCTAGGGACTTCCAAAACAAGGGTACCAGACAATACTGGAGCTAGAAGAGATCTCTAGATTTTAGGATAAAGCAATGAATAGGTGCCTTCTGGAGAACCCCCAAGTGAAGGTAAGCTTTGGCCCCAAGAAGGGCAACACAAATAGTTATGGTATTTCTCTTTACTACTTTCTCCATGTGACCCTATGATCCTTCGTATACCTCTGACCTGTTTTATACTTCATTTTCACTAGGGGAAATAGCAGGAAAACAGAGTCCTAGGCTTGGTACATATCCACCCAAGAGAATCTGTACAAGTTAAAATCTCTTGGAGTCTCTGAAGATTGCCCTAGATGATTATAATGTCCCTTCTAGCCCAAATATGCTATTATTTTATTACTCCATGGCTCCCAAATCTACATCTGTGGCCCTAATTTCTAGTCTTTCATTTCAAATTGCCTGCCTCTTACACTTTGAAAACAGTGAATTATAAACCAAACTCATCTTCCTTCCACCAACACTGATTCTCTCCACTACTTCTCCACTTCTATCAGTATCTCTGTTCTCAAAACCTCAGATTCACCTTCAATTCTTTGCCTCCCATTTCTCCCTGTCTCATCTATCACCAGCTCCTAGTCATTTTTCTTTTGCATCCATCACTTCCTTTTCCTTTCCACATCTACTTGCCTAGTCCAGGCGAATCTTACTTCATGCATGAAGAATAAGGCAAAGTTTCTCCAACTGGCTTTCCTCATCTGTCTTCCTAGTCTGTCTCCTTTTCAGTCTACTTCTGTTCAGTCTCCCTAAAAGTCTGCTTCCTAAAATGTGACCAAATTACTAAGTTCTGCGCTAAATAATGAGGATCCAAGGAGATTTTTCTTTGAAGTGTATGTATTTATTTTGAGAGAGAGAGAGAAAGAGAGAACACATGCGCATACATGAGTGGTATAGGGGCAGAGAGAGAGGGAGAGAGAGAATCCCAAGCAGGCTCCGCACTGACAGCAAACCACAAGATCATGACCTGAGCCGAAATCAAGAGTCTGCTGCCCTACCGAGCCACCCAGGTGCTCCCAAGGAGATTTTTAAGACACTCTTAAACTTCAGGAGCTAACATAGCTGGAGAGATACACACATAAGACAGAATCTTGGTAAAAGTGGCCATAGCAATCTCATTTATAAACTGTTCACAGGGATGGAACACATGATGCTTTAGCCTGGCTTCATAATCTGGTCCTAACACATCTATTAATTCTCAACTCAAATTCTCTAATCCAGACAGACCAGTGTAGTCTTATTATCCCCAAGAGTATATTTCCTGTTTTCCTGCTTAAGCTACTCCTTGCTACAAGAATACCCTTACTTCTTTTCTCTACTTATATTCCATCCATCCCATTTGAAGAGTGTTTACAAACTTGTTCTTACCCACTCTAATTTAAGTCAGATACTCACACTTCTTTGAGAATTTTACCTCAAATAATGCTTGGGATTTAATTCCTGCCTTGGCATGCATATAAAAGATCTTGGAAATGGGCCAAAACCTGGCTCAGTACCAATATTCTTTCTGGCAATAGCACACATTTTGCCCAGGTTTTGTATCCCCACTATCCAAATTGTCTCCCTATATTCCAAATTTTTCAGGCTTTCAAATAAGTCTGACCTTTCAAGCCTTGCTTTAATACCTGGCTAATGACCAGAAAAAAAAAAAAATCATAAGCACAGCTGCTCCTTATGTACCTGTATCCTAAACCTTCAACTTTCCATGCAGGGAAGAGAGGAAGGAAAAGGAGATGGGTAAGATACTATTTTACCAATTTTTCCTAAGTTATATAGACTCATCTACTTCCAGCCTTGGATTCTCCACCCCTGAATACTCAAGCTGGAGCTAGATCCAAGCTGTGCATGTTTTTGATTCTAGCTTCTGGATTTGGTCCACTCCCGTATACTAAACTCCCAACCTTGCCTTGAATTTTCTGTTCAGCTCCTCATCCCACATCTAAACCATATGACAGAAGCCTCTCATGTAAGTGATCTCTTCTTCCTTTGGTACTTATGGATTTTAAATTTTTTATATTATTCACCCTTTTTCCTTTTTAAATATCATCCCACTGCCTAGCACAATGTCTGTTACAGTGCTGTCCCAACAAATTTTCTGTGACCATGGTTATGTTATCTGTGCTGTCCTACAGTAGCCACCAGCCACATATAGCTAGTGGGCACTTGATATGTGGCTGGTGTGATGAAGGGACTCAATTTTAAATTTCATTATATTTTAGTTCATTTAAGTTTAAATAGCCATTTGTGGCTAGTGGTTACTGTACTAAATAAATAGCCTGGTCTTAGAACTCTGTAAATAATAAATATTTAATTGATTGATATTAACATTCCTTCAAGAGGTAACAGGAAGATAACCCTCAGTTTGTTCTCTGTATTTAAGAGTATCTTATGGTTTGCCTCCCTCCCTGTTTTTATCTTATTTTATTAGGGGAGTGGGATGGGGGGATTGGGCTAAATGAGTGACAGGTATTAAGGAGGGCACTGGGTGCTATATGTAAATGATGAATCACAAAATTCTATTCCTGAAACCAGTACTGCACAATATATTAAAGAATTTAAATAAAAATGAGAAATAGGTAACAGGAAGATGATAAAACTTCCTTCCCCACAAGAGCTCCCATTTAGGAATTCTAGATTAACAAAGGGAATTAAGATCACACAAAACCCGAAAGACTGAGATGTCAGTAGTCATTTAAAACCACAGTGGCGGGGCGCCTGGGTGGCGCAGTTGGTTAAAGCGTCCGACTTCAGCCAGGTCACGATCTCGCGGTCCGGGAGTTCGAGCCCCGCGTCGGGCTCTGGGCTGATGGCTCAGAGCCTGGAGCCTGTTTCCGATTCTCTGTCTCCCTCTCTCTCTGCCCCTCCCCCGTTCATGCTCTGTCTCTCTCTGTCCCAAAAATAAATAAACGTTGAAAAAAAAAAAACCACAGTGGCAAATAAAAGAGATGTAAATGTTAGTGGTGGCCAACATTTTTCAGTAACATTAAATGAGAGACAAACACACCTTTATGCCTTCCTTAGGATCTTCCCGTATATTTATTTGAGAGGCTTTCTCACGAGACGGGCATAGAAGATCCAAGATTTCTTCGTTGTAAATCTGGTATTGTTAAAAATAAAGTGGCAAACACAAGATGTTAATAGTGGTAATCTTGGGTGACTTTTAAAATTCTTTGCGACTTCCTGTATTCAAAATATTTTACAACATTTTATTCTTATAATAAAGAAAAGGACTTTAATTCTACATGTAACCATTTGATACTTACAAGAATGAATTCACATATTAGTTGTAACAAAATTGAGACTGCTCTTAAGACAGTTTCTTGGGAATACTGGACACAATGAAAAGTTACATGGGTGCCCAAGTCCAGTTCTTTGATGGTGGCATGACAGTATCACCTTCCTGATTGTTAAAATGTAAGTAAAGGGTCCTTATTGGAGGGAGGAAATGAAAAGCAAACAGGAGAAGTGGCAACCAATATTTCAACAACCAGAACTCTAAGAACTTAGAACAGTGTTTAGCGGATAGTAAGCACCATATTTGTTTGCTATTATGGCTGTTGCTACTATTTAACATACGAAGTTCTTAAGTAATTTTTACATTTGATTACCTTGACCACAACTGGGTTAATCAAGATATCCAAAAAGGCTAATCTTAATGATGTTTAACTCCCCATCTTCCAACTCCACACCTCCTATACATATTAAGATTCAACTCCAGGATGAAGTATTCACATACAATATATAATTGCATGCTTAAATTATGTAAGTTTAATTATTGCTTATTAAAGATATCACTACTAAGGAACTAACCAACTACTTTCCCAGAAGCCACAAATTTCTTAAACATAGGTTTGATGTCATAGGTTAGATATAACTGGCCCATCTACTTGTATAGTGATATTCACTAGAATGAAAACCCCACAAGGGTAGGGATTTTAATGTTTTGTTCATTGATATATCCTAAGTAGCTAGAACAGGTCCTGTAACGCAGTAAGTATTTAATAACTATCTGTTGAATAAACACATTCTATTATCACACACACAGCTCAATACTTCACCCACTTTTTATAACATTCTTCCTGAAACTAGAAGCATTATCACTTAGGCTTCAAAATAATAAAGGGAAATCAGATATTCTTCTGCATACTGTACAGGGAATCAGCAGTGGAAGCCAAATTGGAATTAAAGAATTCCTATTATCTTTTTATACGGCAATGCCAACTCCTCTAACAATCAGATTAAACAGACTCTTCTGACAAGAAAAGAACTGGGTGGGAGCCAGATCCAACTGAGCCAGTAAATTTTCTCTATCAATTTATTAAAATGTAATTTACTAAAAATGCAATTTACTAATTTGAGTCATGCCGGGAAAAACATGATTTGGATTTTTTTTTTCCACCCAAGTTACATTTGAATTCTATATAATTAAAGATAAATCATTTACCTCCAAGTATGATACTTTCAGAGTAAATTCGATGTCACTCTTTTTATCAATTTCTTTGAAGAGCAATTGTATTACCCTAGGAATAACCCCAACTGTTGGTTCATTCTCTTGCTCTGCAGTGTATGCACCTCCCATTGAATAGGTTTTTCCAGAGCCAGTTTGCCCATAGGCCAGGACGGTTGCATTGTATCCTGGCAAAACAGAAGTCACATACATAGTGGTGTTTAAATATTTTCAACCAATCAGTATACTCAACTTCTTTCAGCAATTATTTGCAACAAAATTGAGACTGCTCTCTTAAGACAAGGGTCTCTTAGGACTAGCAGACATACAGAAAACTTAGATGGGTGCCATGATTTTGCATTAGTCCAAATAAGCAAAGAAAAAAAATACCAACTCCAGAATATGTGCCCCTCTTTGTGGCCCTTAAAAGCTAGGAAGTAAAACATTTATTTAGTTAGTTATTTAAATGTTATTTTTGAGAGAGAGAGTGAGAGCAAGCGAGCAGGGGAGGGGCAGAGAAAGAGGGGGACAGAATCTGAAGCAGGCTCCAGGCTCTTAGCTGTCAGCACAGAGCCTGATGTGGGGCTTGAACTCATGAACCATGAGATGATGACCTGAACCGAAGTTGGATGCTTAACCGACTGAGCCACCCAAGTACCCCAAAGAAGTAAAACATTTAAAGATATGAATGAGGTAATAAAGGTGGCCCAGTCACTGTCAAAAAGCCATTCAGAGCTTTATAATTCTACTTCTAGCAATTCTAAATTATGGGAATTAAATGAAAGTCTTAGAAGTTGCATAAATAGAAGGAATTCCAACATATATGTTTTTGATTACCAGTCTTCATCTGAAAAGGCAACAACGTAGATTTTTTATAACCAATGAAAGCATCCACTCCCTATTTAAACTCTCAGTCCATCTGGACCATATTATCAGGCTTCTTATAGACATGTCATCATTTAAGTATGATTTAATGTGATATATGTTCTTGGCCTTTTTTTTTCTTTTTAAAAGAACTTGTATGTCTAAATGAAGACCTTGATATTCTGAAAGATCATAAGATGTTAAATCAAGATTTCCACTGTAATAAATAGCTAGTGTCAACTGGCACAACTACAGGGCAAAAACATAACATTCCATAATCATCTACAATACCACAGATATGTGTATATAGTAGTAACTGGGAAAACCAAGTTTCAGTACTTTTTCCAAAATATTCAGGGCTCTCTGGTATTGGGAATTCAGAGTAGAAGAGGATGTCACTGAGCTGAGTGAAAAAATATTGGCTTTGCCTTTGCAACTGAGAACAATGTTAATCAAACATATACATATTAGAATTGCTACCTACTTTATATTGCCTCTAAAGACTATAATTTGATTCTTATAGTTTCCCAAGTTAAGATAAAAGTAGAACTATAGGGCTCTTACTAAACTGTGAAGGTACATTCTGAGGAAGATGACCAGATGATGAAGGGCCTGGGAACCATATTGTTTCTGGAATAACTAAAGGAAAGGAGGGATGGTTAATTAGAAGGCTTAGATAGAATCATATAATCGTCTTCCAAATGTGTAAATAGGAAAAAGTTTAACTTTATAGTGAAGAAGCCTCGCAGACAACACTGTAATCAAATGATCAAAATGAACATCAGCAGTAATGAAATAAGTCATCATGTGCTGCTTGATAAGATTCAAAGGAAAGAATACAGCACCACTTCTGTGATATTCCTACTGAAGATATGCAACCTGAATCTAATCATAACATCAGACACACCAAAACTGGTAAACAGTTTACAAAATTACTGGCTTGTGATCTTCAAAAAAGACTGGAAAAACTTTAAAATGAAACAGACTATACAGAGGCAGTACAACTATATACAATAAGTGCTTTTAAATGAGATCCTTTTACTCTAGAGGACATTATTGGGACAATTGGTGAAACTTGAAAGAAGTCTGAGGGCTAGATGGTAGTAATACAGCAATGCTTATTTCATGATTTTGATCTTTATATTGTAGTTATGTAGGAGGAAGCCCTTGATTGTAGCCAATATACATACACATTCAGGGTGCATCAGGTCAACAATTCATCTCAAATGATAGAAGAAAAAAAGTTCTTTATGCTGTTTTTGCAACATTTCTATAAGTTTGAGATTATTGCTTTAATGTTTTTAAAAAATTTTTTAAGTTTATTAATTTATTTTGAGAGAGACAGAGAGAGAGAGAGAGAGAGCGCACAGGGGAGGGGCAGAGAGGGAGGGAGACAGAGAATCCCAAGCAGGCTCTGCACTAACAGTGCAGAGCCCAACTCAGGTCTTGAACTCACAAGCCACAAGGTCATGACCTGAGCTGAAATCAAAAGTCCAATGCTTAGCCAACTAAGCCACTCAGGTGCCCCTGATTTAATATTGAAAAAATGTAAAACAGTGTTCAATGTGTCCTGAGCCATAACATCATTTAAAAAAGTGGGGAAAGGGGCGCCTGGGTGGCGCAGTCGGTTAAGCGTCCGACTTCAGCCAGGTCACGATCTCGCGGTCCGCGAGTTCAAGCCCCGCGTCAGGCTCTGGGCTGATGGCTCAGAGCCTGGAGCCTGTTTCCGATTCTGTGTCTCCCTCTCTCTCTGCCCCTCCCCCGTTCATGCTCTGTCTCTCTCTGTCCCAAAAATAAATAAACGTTGAAAAAAAAAAATTAAAAAAAAAAAGTGGGGAAAAAAACACGTGAATAGCTGTTACCTGTAAGAAGGCTTCTATTTACCTAGAGGGATGAACTAACATCACTGGAAATTATAGGGAAGCAAATTTCATCTCAATATAATCTAACCCAATTAGAGTTGTCCAAAATCCAACCAATAGGACCCCCTATTGCAAGTTAGTGAGTTCCCTATCCCTATTTAAAAGAATTTTAAATAGATGGTGTAAGTTCACTTAGAGATATTGCTGGAAAGTATTTTTCTTTGGATACAAAGTAAGACTAGGTGATGTAAAACATGCCTTTCATCTTTAAGGGACTGGTGTGCCATGCTTCTACTTCTACGTAGCTCTCTGCTTTGAATCCTGAATAACCTCTGTACTAAAATAACAATAATTAGGGGTGCCTGGGCGGCTCGGCCGGTTGAGTGTCCTTTTAGCTCAGGTCATGATCTCACCGTTCTTGAGTTTGAGCCCCATAATGGGATTGCTGCTGTCAGCACAGAGCCCACTTCGGATCCTCCATCCCTCTCTCTCTCTGCCTCTCCCCTACTCACTCTCTCTCTCTCTCTCAAAAATAAACATTAAAAAAAGAATAACAATAATTAGACACCTCTCAGACATTGCTCCCTTCTTTAGAACCCTGCTATGGTCTTCAACAACACTAAAGCCTTAGCTTCTTTTTTTTTTTTTTTTTTAAAGGCTTTAATCAACGTTTATTTAT